CGGACCTGACCTAGGGTGGATTTTACATTGGGTTTTAAATATTCGGAAGACGCAACATTAAAATTCGGTTTAATTCGGTTTTAAGGGGGGGATTGTATATATGTTCTGGTTTTAAATATGTTGTGCGCCGCCCTGAGTCCCTGTCGGGAGAAGGGCGGCATATAAATTAAATAAAATAAATAAATAAATAAATAATAAAATGAATATAGTGGCAAAAAGTCAAGCCTTGTCTAAGTGTAATTGATCATTGCATACTTTATGTTAGAAAGGGCTAATAGAAGAAATCTTTTAATGCAGTAGTTCTTAACTTTTCTTCACCACAGATCCCTTTTAAATACCTTTTGTGGCCATGCATCAAGGCCATGGACCACCAAGACTTAACTCAAGATTTAAATCATAACATTTCTGCAAGCCTTCGTGGATCCCCTGTTACTATCTCATTGCCTCCCTAGGGGTCCGCAGACCACAAGTTAAGAACCATTGTTTTAAAGTGTTTTATTTCACCTTTGGTGTTCTCTACATTAACCTTATACTTTATCTGCTAGACACTTCTAGTGAGAGCTAGTGGAAGAGTTAAAGCTAGGCAGTAATAACAGACCAAAGTACATGAATAAAGTATATTTCCAAGAAACAAATAGTAGAAATCTGACTACTGTGATTTGTTTATAATATAACTTAACAACTGAAATTCTAAATATTGTTCACTCTGTTTTAACAAAGAAGCAAACAATAAACAGACTATATTTGATTGCCACAAACGTTTACCTTAGGGAGCAGATCAGAGGGAAGAAATAGGAATTATTTCAAAATTCATTGAAATTCATACAGTTCCAGATAAGGTTATCATCACCGTTTAGCACAATACCAACAAAGAGGAAACAGCTCTCAAAAGAAACCAGCATGGCTGCATAAAGAACTCTCTGGTAAATTGAAAGATAAAAAGGACAAGTATAGAAAGTGGAAAGAGGGGCACATAACTAAGTCAGAATATCAGCAAATAGCCTGAGCCTGCAAAGATGAAGTGAGGAAAGCTAAGGCTCAAAATGAACTAAGGCTTGCGACCAAAGTCAAAAATAACAAAAAAAAGCTGCTTTCAGCATGTAAAAATCAAGAAAAAGTGAAAGAAATGATTGGTCCATTAGTGGGTGAAAGTGGCAAGAAGGTGACAAGCAACAGGGAGAAAGCAGAACTATTTAACTCGTTTTTTGCATCTGTCTTTACACAAAGGGAAAAAACAGACCAACCTACCAAAAATAGTGCCATAAAAAGCAGAATAGAAATGCAAGTTAAGATAGGCAAGAAAACGATAAGTGAGCACCTGTCCAGCCTAGACGAATTCAAATCACCAGGACCAGATGGATTACACCCCAAGGTTCTCAAGGAACTGGCAGATGTGATCTCAGAACCGTTGAACTATATTTTTCAAAGATCCTGGAGCACTGGGGAACTACCAGAGGACTGGAAAAGAGCTGATGTAGTTCCCATCTTCAAAAAAGGAAAGAAATGGACCCAGGAAATTACAGACCTATCAGCCTGACCTCAATACCTGGGAAGATTCTGGAAAAGATAATCAAACAACGAATCAGCGAACACCTAGAGGCAAACAAAATCATTACTAAAAACCAACATGGATTTGTCAAAAACAGATCATGCCAGACAAATCTTATTGCATTCTTTGACCAAGTGACAAAATTAGTGGATCAGAGGAATGCTGTGGACATAATTTACTTGGACTTCAGTAAGGCATTTGATAAAGTAGATCACAACCTACTATTTGACAAGATAGAAAAATGTTGGGTAGACAGCAGCACCACCAGATGGATCTAGAGCTGGCTGACTGGCCGTACTCAGCGTGTGGTCCTCAATGGAACCGCATCTACATGGAGGGAAGTGTGTAGTGGGGTGCCCCAGGGCTCTGTTCTGGGCCCAGTGCTCTTCAACATCTTCATCAATGATTTGGACGAGGGGATAGATGGGGAAATCATCACATTTGCAGACAACACAAAGCTGGCAGGAATAGCCAACACTCCAGAAGACAGGCTTAAGATACAGGAGGATCTGGACAGACTTGAACACTGGGCACTATCTAACAAAATGAAATTCAATGGTGAAAAAAGCAAGGTTCTACATTTAGGCAAGAAAAACCAAATGTACAGGTATAGTATAGGTGGTACCTTGCTCAATAGTAGTAACTGTGAGAGGGACCTCGGAATCCTAGTGGACAATCACCTAAATATGAGCCAGCAGTGTGCTGCAGCTGCCAAAAAGGCCAACACAGTGCTAGGCTGCATTAACAGAAGGATAGAATCAAGATCACGTGAAGTATTAATATCACTTTACAATGCCTTAGTAAGGCCACACTTGGAATACTGCATCCAGTTTTGGTCACCACGATGTAAAAAAGATGTTGAGACTCTAGAAAGAGTACAGAGAAGAGCAACAAAGATGAATAGGGGACTGGAGGCTAAAACATATAAGGAACGGTTGCTGGAATTGGGTATGTCTAGTTTAACGAAGAGAAGGACGAGGGGGGACATGATAGCAGTGTTCCAATATCTCAGGGGCTGCCACAAAGAAGAGGGAGTCAAGCTATTTTCCAAAGCACCTGAAGGCAGGACAAGAAGCAACGGATGGAAACAAACCAAAGAGAGAAGCAACCTAGAACTAAGGAAAAACTTCCTGACAGTTAGAACAATTAACCAGTGGAACAACCTGCCTCCAGAAGCGGTGAATGCTCCAACACTGGAAGTTTTTAAAAAGAGACTGGACAGCCATTTGTCTGAAATGGTATAGGGTTTCCTGCCTGAGCAGGGGATTGGACTAGATGACCTCCAAGGTCTCTTCCACCACCACCACCACCATCATCATCATCATCATCATCATCATCATTATTATTATTATTACTGTGAATTAGAATTTTATGAAGCCAGGAAAAGGCTTCTTTCACTTGTAATTTCTCTTGTACACTGTCATGTTTTTCAGTTTCTCCATTTTTTTTCCATTCAAGAAAAGGTTATTTCTTCCTTTGTCTCTTATGAGATTGACTAATTTTATACGAGATAAACAAAACTTTATATAAAAATGTAAAAATTGAAATATAAAAACTGATATTACCATTAGACCAGTAGTTCTTAACCTTTTTGAATGAATCGCCCCCTTGAGCCAATGAGGAAGTTGTCATCGCCCCCCTCCCCCAACATAACCTCTCAATCACAACACAGGAAATAATTCTTCAATTTACGCAAACCCTTTTTTTTGTTTTCTTTAAAATTGTCATCAGGCCATATCAATGCAAATCATTTATTTCAAGTCTTTTCCCCATATCTCCCATATTCTGGCCAATGGCGCGCCACTGTATGGGTAGAGGCTGCTGCGCAACACGCATGAAGATAAGCAATGTGTATTCACATATGTATGGTGTTCTGTACTGAAGCTAGCTGGAGGAACATTTGAAAACAATTCAATCCGCTAATAGCGAGCGATCTGATGTTTTTCTACAACAGATATATAGCCATTCACTGTACAAAAAAGTCTCAAAAGTGTCCCCCAAACTTCTCACTCCATCGCCCCCATATTGCCCCCTTTTCGTTCCTTTACCCCCACATCGCCCCTTTTCGTTCCATCGCCCCCCCTGAAAAACGAAATCACCCCCTGGGGGACGATATCGCCCAGGTTAAGAACCACTGCATTAGACATTAAAATATATTCGTCTTTGTAGAAAAAGAGTTACA